TAGCTGAGCCCAGGATCAGCATTGTCAGATAAATAAATACACACGTAAACATATACATATAATTATATGCACATGTCCACCAAACACAACACACACCTCACTCTTCAACACCTTCACTCAGCACATATGACAGTTTGGGTAGAAATACAATCAATTTAAATCTACAGTACAATAGTTCATCATTTCTTATCTGGCAACCCTGCTTGGCATGGAAACTGTAGTGGATCACTAAACAATTTTTTTTCTTGGTTATTTGTTCCAATAAATATTATAAAAACACTAATGTTTCCAGAGGTTGTTCTTGTGTAAACAGGCCTGAGTCCTCTTGTGAAGCAAAATAATTCGACTTACCTTCAATCTGAAGAACATCTCAGCCAAAATACTCACCTGCCTGCTCACTCTCCACCATCCTCCTCCTGTTTGTTTTCACATTCAGCCTTAAATTAGAGAACGTCCTATCAGCTTTGTGGGAAAAACAAGATTTTGCACAAATTTTGCTTCCTGTCAGCTAGATTTATCTATTCTCATTGCTGTCCATCTTGTATTATTTTAAAAAGGGGTTCAATGGAAATGAAATGAACAATCAATATTTTACCTGTTATTTATTTTAAACTAACAACCTTAATATGTTTTATTTTTATTTTATCAGATTGATAAATTATAGTTTGACTTAACTGAAATCAAGGTAACAATCAGATCAGATACATATCTTCTAATAATTTACATTGTTCATTTATATTTTCACCAAACACATTTTAATTTTTCTTAAAAGAGTCTCTGTCTTTCTATTTGTTCCCCATGTCATTTCAAGGACAAAAACTGAATCTTCCTTATGCAAAATAAACAAGAAAACAAGACTCAAAGAGCTGTAATGAACTGTTTTAGCTACACAGACACTCAGTGAAACAAGAGAAACCGGAAATGAAAAGCTTCAGCTCGTGTTTGACTTTTACTCAAAATAATACTCTCTAACAGAACACGTGCAGATACTGAGGAAAACCAAGGAAATGTCAACACCCTGGCTATCCATCCGGACCAAACGCATATATTACACTGTGTGGGGCAACAATTAGGTCAAGTGAGAGAGCGGCTTTGGATGTTATCAGTCCATTAAATGGCCGTTATTAGTTGTTATCATCCCCATATGTAGCGGTCAAACTGTCCCACCTACCTCCTAGTAGGTTTAAAGTTACATTATTATCGTTATTATTGCTGATAATAGGCAGCGTTGCACGGGATAAACCAGGAAGTGTCTTTTTAGTTGTTTTCAGCTTATGTAACCCTTTTCCTAAATGTAAGCTTACACCTGACCCTGAGGACCAACCCTAAACTTAACCCCCTTACCCTTGTGCCTAAACCTAACCACGTGAAGTTATTATGAGCGCTAACAAAGGTAAAAAATAGAGCCTATTATCATCACTAACAACGTACCTTTAAACCCACTAGGAGGTACCGGAGGGGTAGTCTGACCGCTAAATATGGAGAAGATAACAACTAATAACGGCCATTTAATGGCTGATAACATCCGAAGCGGGTGGAGCGAGACAATGTTTATTCTACAAATGTGGTTTGCAGGTCAACAATGTGGAAAGAAATAATGAGTGAAAGTCTATTTCTAATGGACGCCTAAATGGCCAGTTAGGGAGAGTTCACAGTTTGTGTGGAAACAAACATCTGATCTTTAGACTGTGAAGAACTTCTCCACAGGAAGAAAAAAAAAGACAAAGTTCAAACCCAACCTCTGGGAAGCTTTCTGTGTGACAGGTACTGTATGTGAGCCATCTGAGCTGGGTCTGTCTGGTATCTGGGGAAAGCGTATTGATGTGAGAATGTGCTCCCACCTCAGAGGTAGAGAATGGAAACCAATTTGTGGGACAGATGACCTCGATGGTGGTGGGACTCCACAACCTCAGGAAGAACAAAGGAAAGACCTTCACGTCTGGTACACTCATTTGCAGGAAAACTTTATGGATTGTCCTCCAGCAGCCATCCTCCTCTTCACTGTGATGTCATATTTTCACAAATATCACACCAACCTTAGCAGTAACAAACCTGGAAAAGACTCTAACATTTGAGGCAATCGAATTAAAAAACAACTCAAATAGTGGTTGGATTAGTTAAAAATTGACAACATTTGGATTTTAAAGTTGAGGATAACTAAGTGAAATATACTAAAAAGTCTTGTTTTCTGTGGGTTTTGAGGTGAGTTTTCCGTGGATTAGTATTTATTCTCGCAGAACCATCAGATCCTGATCAAGTCTAGTGTTTGTAGAGTTTGGATGTCAAACACAATGATGGGCCAGTTCCAAATAAAAAAAGCACATTCTTATTCTTTTAAGCCTATATCTCACTAGGCTGCTGGTCCCAAAATTGCAAGCAAAATGCACAAGTTTTCACTTTGAGTCTCACTGATTTCTCATGTTTTCTCATGACGGCAAATTGTTGTCACTTAACTACGGCTCGACAGTCACAAGAATGTTTTGTGATGATTCAATAGTTCTGCATGACAGTTGGGTTGGGGGACAATGAAGAGTTGTGGTAAATGGTGATATAGCATTCAGTCAGAAAAGCAGCTGTATAAACAGATGGACTGGATTCTCCAGTTTAATGTTGTATCAGTCTGATGTATGTTTTTTAAACTTGTCTGGGGTCAAGAGAGGGTCGAGGTAGGGCAGCTGACTCAGGACCTGAAGTCCCAAGTTCGATCCTCTGCCAATCCCACATGTTGTGGTGTCTCTGAGCAAGACACCTAATCCCTAATTGCTCCCCGGGCGCCTGCATAGCTGCCCACTGCTCCACCTGGGTGTATTCCAGGTGTGTTGGTTAAATGCAGAGAAGTATTTTTGCCATTGTATGGAAGCATACAATGATGACAACACATAGCACTTTACTTTACTTTACTAATGAGATACACAACATTAATCAATTTTTTTTCAAAAACTCATGGTCACGATCATTTCGTTTATGTTTGATACCTTGTTGGCCACTGTTGTTACTGATGGCACATCGGCTACAAGAAAACTGTGCTTCAGTTGTAACTGACTGGATGATGGTTTGTGAATTTACATGTGACATTCCTACATTTTTGATAATCTGTTAGCAGCCAAAATCATTTTTTGAAGCAAAACTCTCAATGCAGTTCAGTTTTTGCCAAAAAAAAAAGAAGAAAACTGTGTATTTCTTCGTCCTCTGCAGTAAAGTGAATGTGTTGGGATTGCTGTAGGCTGAAAATTACAAACACCATTCTCTCTCCTCATGTGCCGACTGAGCCTTTAACTCCATTTATGGGGGGGTATTCAGATTAGAAACATGCCATTTTTCTTCAAGAAGTTGAGAAAAAGAGTCCTGTTTGCTCAAACTGGTCCTTGTTTGACAGAGACCACCTTCCTTCTGGGCTTTAGAGGATCTGCAGACCACCCAGAACAAGCTGGAGATGATGTCACCGCTCCACTTGCTGCCACTGCTTCGCTGAAGTGGACTAAAGGGTTCAGAGAACGTGTGGAAATTGAACGAGTATGAAAATATCTTTAACACCTTGATATTATGAACGGCTTCATTCTTTGAGCCATTTTTTGTGACACACAAGAACGCTTTAAAGCAATAGTTCAAATATCTTCATAAGGAGTTCTGTGGAAATGTTCTGAACAGTTAATAGCTTACCTGCCATAGATACCTGTTTAAAGAGTTTGATTCTGACCAGACTGATGAGCTAATTACTAAACCGAGCAGAGCCAGATCCAAAGTGGATTTCTGACGTCTTAAAACAGCTTCAGTTCCAAAAAGGTTTCAGCTGTTCATGCAGATATTATTTTATGAACAGCTCAAAAATGATGTTATTTACATTTTATCAGAATTTTATGGCTATTATGGGTAGCCGCAGCCATCAGAAGCACTTCTGGTGCAGCTTCAGGCACATCTGCCAAGAATATATATATATATATATATTTTTTTTTGCAGTATTTTGAGACTTGAGCTGTTTAAAATGGCAGCAAAGAAGGACCTGGGAACTGGGGGTGCTGAAAGTGCTACAACACCCCCTTGTGGATGACAAGAATTAACATTTGAACAAAATAAAGGCATTAAAAAGGAACAACAGCATGAGTAAACAGATATAAATAAACATATATCCAGCAATGTAAGACCATATTTCAATTGTGGTTTTTGATAATGACTTATTTACGGGCAACAAAGCGCTCCTGTGGTTGCATCCTTGTTTGGGGCAGTATCTTTGGCTCATCTCAAACAAATCATCATCTCATGAGTCTAGTCAGAATTAAACTCTAATCCTCACGAGTTCAATCAGCGAGCTACAACAGGTAAGATATTAATTGTCCACACTCTTTTCACATAACCCCACGTCAAAATGTCTGAACTATTCTTTTAAAGGTGGACTATCTTCTGTGGCAAACTCAACGCGTCCTTAGATCAGTCAGTGAGTGTGCAAAAAGAAACAAGTTAACAGCTGCCTATGATTCAAGTATGACAATTTATTACAAAAACTAGAACTTTTTGTCCATCCGTCGCTGCTGCCATGCTTCAAGCGTATAACAAGACAGTATAAAACCTGAACTTTGACGTAGGATAGTAAAAGCAAAGGTTATAGATGATGACGCAGCATTACAGAAGGTAAGACATGCTCGTTACTGTACAAAGAACATTCCCACTGAAGCGACTGCCAGACGGCGCCACTCTCATCGACGAACTGCATTTTACAATAATAGCACTCGGCCATTCGAAGTGTTGCACCCGAACACCTCTTTGGAAACCAGTTGAACAGGTAAAATAAACACAGACGCTCTGGAAAGGAGGATGGATGTGCTGAGATAGATTTGCAACAGCCCAAGGCACTCAGGCTCAAACGTTGGCAATAAGGAAACGTCTTTCTTCGCACAGAATCACGAAAAGCAGGTGGCAGAAGAGAAAGAAGAGAGACAGAGAAGCCATGTTGTCTATTTGATAACCTCCTACAGAAAACCTTTAGAAGAAGTCCACCTCGCCTGTGTTCACAGTGGAGATCCCTGGCAGTCGAGACAGAAAAGACAGCTGAAGAAGTCTTTCAGTTTGCTGATTTGTGTGACATCTGTTTTCTAAAAACTACACCTCCTACTGTGTCTGAAGCCGGCACATTCGTTTGCTCTCACTGAGCAAACTCTTCTCTCAGAAGTGGCACCATTTGCTGCTTTTTTTTTTTTACCACATGAACGCCTGGCAGGAACCACAGGATGCCAAAGTGCAACGTGTTTTCAGCCATCTCGCCCACACAAAAAAATCTGGTAAAAATCGATCAAGTCGTCCAAAATATATTTTATTTGATCAAACGCCTATGACAAAATCCCCACAGCTATTCACTGAAAATGTCTCCCCGTGATCTGTTCAGTACCAGTTCACTGAAACCAGTGGCGCCTGCAAGAGTTTGTCTTCGCTGCAGCTCAGCTCAGTTCAGCTGGCGACAAGCTTCAAATGTCCACTTGGAGGCACCTCCGTAAATGTCGAGGCTCGTCTCCATCCATGCAAAAACGTTGCCCACTTGAGCTTTGCTGCTGCAGGTTGCCAGGTTGTAAATCTCTCCCACGGACAGTTTCCGATCCCAGATGTGGAAATTGGCCAGGTCTCCGACAAACGCTTGTGTGGCATCAAACCCTCCACCGTACGTGTCCTGCAGGAGGAGGAGATGGATCATAATGCTGCTTTATTTATTTACATCCTTATTCTAGTTTTAAAAGATGCGTTCGGCCAGTAAAAGCAGCTTAACATTAGTCACAAGGTCAAACTGCTGATGATAAATTTGGCTTTTAAATGAATGATATGCCATTTAGTGAAAAATGAAATGGACAAAAAACTGCAACAACAACTAATCCTTTCGTTTTACCTGTTCCTGGCCGAGGATGAGCAGGCCCTGTGGTTTGATGGGATGATAAGGAGCCAGATTTTCTCCGCTCCCTCTCTTCACACCATCTTGGAAGGCTTCCCAAACGCCATCGCGAGTCGTCCAGGTCACACAGATGTGATGCCACTTTCCATCATTGATCAGAAACGGCAGCTTTGCAACCTTTTATGGAATTTGAATACATTAAATATGTGCACGTTCTTCAACGTGATATCCACTAACTGAAGCATGTTCAAGCCGTACCTTGTCATTTATCAGGATCTCCATGGGGTTGTTGCCCCACTCGATCAGGACGAGCTCATTGGCCTGACCTGGAACTGCGTAGGAGAACGGTGTTCCCACTCCAGGCGAGGCGTTGGACTTCAGCCACATGCACACGGTCAGGGCGTACATTTCAGGCAAACTCTTCTTCACCTTTGCGTACATGTAGTTGGTCCTCAAAGGGAAGGTGAGCTGGAATTTATCAAGGGGTCTGTTTTCTCTTTGACCTGTCAGGAAAAGAAAAGTTAGGATATGAGTGGGATTTTTTTTGTAACATTTTGTGATTTATCACTGAGGATTTACACATTACACAACAAATCCACAATGGGGAGGTTCCAGATTTTTCTTTAATCTTGCACGCTAAATCCATGACAGGAGTAGTGACGTTGAGTGTCATGCTGCTCCTGCTGCTCCTGCTGCTGCTGATGCACGTGATCAAAGAGGTCCCAAACGCAGAACAAGGTTTCAAAAGGCTCAGAGAGTTTATGGAGACGAAATGGGAATGTTTGCATTGATTTAATGTGCAAGAATTAAAGCAGGAGGCTGCAGAACACTCCTTCTCCTCCACCATCCTTCATGAAACCTCCCTGATCGTCTTCAGTGCTAAACTACAATAAAATAAAAATAAAAACCCAGCTCCTCCGACCTTTCTCCAGATCTGCGATCCTCTGGTGAAGAGATGTGAGGGTGGACTCCATCCTGCCACGCTGCTCCGTCTCATTCCGGAGTCCGGACTTCCCCTCCTCGATGCTGTTGACCCGGGACAAAACCTGCTTCTCCAGGTCGTCGATTTTACTCTGCAGCAGGTCCTTCAGGCTGTTCGCCTGCACCGAGTTGTTGCTTCTGCTGAATTGCTGCCAGGAGGCAAAACAGTGTTAAAATAAAGTTTAACTGTTATTTAAAATGAGGTTCATGCAATATTAATTAATGTATAAATTATAATTGTTATAAACAGTTGCCAAGCATTTTTTTTAATAGACACTGAAGTTAGTATTTTATTCCACAGCTCTGTAAAGGGCTATTCCACAGATTTTTTTGTGTGCTCTGGACAATTGTTTGATTTTGATCTCGTGAAAAATGTACAAAACGTAAACTGTTCAAACCTGGACTGGATTGTTCTGCACAAAAAAACAAACAAACAAACAAACAAACAAACATTAAAACTCAATTTGAGTTTCAAAAAAGCCTTTATGGATTAAATTAATTTTATACATTTTTTGTCCTTTTATGGTATTTCGACCACACTGGAAATGATCAAGTTCCAATTTTAATTTATTGTACAGATGACAAACTGTGTTTTAAAGATGCTGCTTTGAGTGTAGAATAAGTTGATCCAGGTTTGAACAGTTTGGACATTTTATGGAGCTGATCAAAAAAAGTCCAGATGCTGAAAACTAACAAAAATAATTCCTCAAAACAACAAAAAAAGGTTAATTTATTTCCATTTCACCAAAAAAATATTGGTTTGAAAAGTCGTCAAATATTGTTTTCTGAATTTGTTTGTTGTATAGAATAATTTGGTCCATGTTTGAATAGTCTGTTGCAGTTTTGGGACGAGAGCTGATGCTCTTGTCACTAAAAGTGTGGAATAGCCCTTTACCTAACTGTCGCTAACTTCAGCGTCATTTTTCATTTGTATTGAGTGCAAAAACATAAAATCTGCGCTAACTGGAGTTATCAGCACATAATAAGTAAATCTAGAGGATCTAAAGGAGATTTTAGAGCTTTGATTTTGTCCCGGAGGTGAATTCCTACCTCCAGATTTTCTAATCTCTGCTTCAGCGACTGTAAAGTCTGAGACAGCTGCGTCAAAGTGTCCGCGGGGCCCCTCGACACGTCCCCCATGGTGTTTTTGGCCCCCGTCTCCTTCCTCCTGGCCCCGGGCTCGGCGCCGCTCTGGCTCTCGCAGCGGGCCAACTTGGAGGTGAGTTCTCTGATGGTCTCCTTCTGGTTCATGATGGTCTCCTTCTGCTGCAGCACGGTCTCGCGCAGCTGCATGACGGTGCTCTTCAGGTCCTCTCCCGGCACGCTGTTCTGCAGCGTGGCTGCGCAGATGTCCACATCCTTGGGCACGGACGTGCAAATGAACTGCGTCTGTCCGCCGAAGTCCTGGGATAAACTCTCCAGAAGCGCGCAGGAGAAGAGGAGAAGTCTCCAGGAGAAGCCGCCCTGCGTCGCCTGCATGTCGGCTTGTAGTTTTCTTCTTTAGGAGGGGGGAGCAGGCTGATGAGCCGCAGTAAAAGTCCTCTCTTCGGTGTCTCCCCCCCTTCCCCAGCCTCCTTGTTGTCGTACTCCACCCGCGCTGCTGCTTTTATACGCGCAGCCTGCCGGGTTCTGCGCAGAGCCGCTCCACTGCGTCACAACCCGAATGGGGTGGGAGGTGTGTGTGTGTGGGGGGGGGGGGGGGGGAGGGGGGGGGGGGGGGGGGGGGGGGGGGGGGGGGGGGGGGGGGGGGGGGGGGGGGGGGGGCAGGCAGGATGGGGTGGTTAGAGTTCGTACAGCCCGCTTTAAACGGCTTCACAAAGTCGCGTCACATCCAGGAGATGAAACCCATTTTGCTTTCCAGTGCGGCTCGTGTTTTAAATCTTTCATCACTTTGTCTGCGCGTCATTCATTATTCATCTGGGGTGGAAAAAAAATTCAGATTTAAAAAGCGCAGATTTGTTGGTGGAGAGATGCCAGTGTGGCGCCGGGGCTAAAAGCGGGTCCAGTTGTTGTTCCGGGCGCTCTGACTGAAGATGGAGCTTTCAGCACCAAGGACAGCTCCGAACACCTCCACCACAGGGAAACACAATCTGACTAAAACCGAATAACTCACGAACCACTGGACGGATTTTAATGAAGCGCTCAAAGAATAATCCTTGGATGTGCATGTAAAACTGATTATATTTTAGTAAACTAGAGAAATTGCATTTCCTGTGTGAATGCTTTTCGCTGAAGAGCTTGTTGAAAATCTGCATAAATTGGCTAAATAAATGCTGGAATATAGCTGAAATGGAAGAACAAGCCTAAATTAGCAGAAAAAAGCACAAAGAACACATATTTGATGAAAAAGGTTTAAATTAGCAGAAATTGGCACAGACGTTATAAAAAAAATGGTGAAATTCGCAGAAAATGCCTGAAAAATAACTGAAAGGCAGAAAGCTTCTCTGAAGGAGGCAGAGGGAGCTGAAATTAGCTAGAATATTATGGTATTAGCTGAAAAAGCTAAAATTAGCATAAAAATAGCTAAATAGAGCAGAAACGGATTAAATTAGCACAGTTACTGTAATCTTAAAGGAGCATAAAAAATGAAATTAGCGGAAAAAGTTAATTAAGCTGAAAGTAACAGAAATTACCAGGATAAACTTGAATTTGTCTGAAAACAGCTGAAATTAGCAAAAGGGGAAAAAACAGCTGAAAAGTAGCTAAAAAGCAGAAAGAAGCTTAAATTGCCAGAAGCAAGTGGCGAGAGCACATTTTTGCTGAATTGGGCTGAAAAATAGTTTAAACGAGTGCAAAAACTGTGGAATTAGCTGAAAAGGTTCAAATGATCATAAAACTGTTGAATAGTAGCTGAAAAGGTTGAAACTTGCAGAAAGAAGCTGAAAGAAGCGTAAATTGAAATTAACAGAAAAAGGAAACAAGAAGCACAAAAATGTTGCAGTAGCAGAATTCTAAAAGGATCACAAAACAGCTGAAACTAGCAGCTGAAATTAGCTGAAAGTAGCTGAAAAAAGTTAAAATTTGCCCAAGGAAGCAGGAAGCAGCTGAACCAGAACAAAATGTGAAAGGAGCAGTAAAAAGTTGTAAACAGATCTAAAGATTTGAAGGATGTAAAATGAGCTCAATTTATTTCCTATGAGAAAGAAAGTGGCAGAAAAGGCTAAATATTTCAAAAAGCTAAGGCTGCACCAATACCAAAAGTCATAGCACCGTTCTCCCGAACGAGCTGAATGTTTTGATACATGATTTGTTGAAATAGCACAAAAGTTGTGGAAGGAGAAAGATGCTGAAAAACATATGGAAGAAAAATTGATCATAATAGTGTGAATGCTTCATAAGAATTCATACATGTATATTAACACAACTAAAGATGGCTGCCGCAGCCAACACAAAACTGGCTACAGCTCATTCAGTTTTCCATTTATTTAACTAAATGTGGTGTTGTGGTGGCTGAACGTCACCCTCAACATAAAGTCCAAGAACTAACAGCTTGTGTTCGATCAGTTCCAAAAACTTCACCAATAGATGTTAAAATCAAACTTGTCCTTCGGTCAGCAAAGTTTCTCATTAACAACTGATGTGTGTTAATTCAAAATATTCAAAATTTTTATTGTCATGTGCATAACTGGAAATGTTCCCTGAGCGATGACGTTCTTAGTTTTCTGTCCGCATGTAATGCCAAGTGGAGGAAAACTGATTTAAAAACAAGTGAAAATACAAAGTACCAACAAAGTGAAATAGATACTCACCTTCATCAGAAGCGCTCATAGTGTGACGGCACACAGTGTCATGTTTAAGGTTTAACCAAAACATCTGTAACTTTGTTCCTTCTCATCATGAAATCATTTCAGTCTAAACCTCTCACATAGTGGGTGATATGCATTCCTTTAGTAATTTTTTTGGCTTTTAATTTTTTATGTTTGGTTTTATTTTCCCACCAAGAATCACTTAAGTTTGCCCTTTCTAGCTCTACATCTTCCCATTTTTCCTCTGGGCTGCAAATCACACATTCATATTTAACGACAAACTTCAAATTCAATGTGAAAACGATATTTTCTGAGCGAGCCACAGCCAGAATCCATTCTGATCTCTGGACACAGAGGCAATCTGCTCTCCACACCACTTTAATATGTAATGAGAGCACGGCAGCCCCCAGATTAAAACCGGCTGCGAAGAGAAACACATGGGAAAATGTGTGCATGTGGATAAGCCCGCATGTGAGGTGAGACAGGTTAAACAGCTCCTTCTCTCGTTTAGCTTTGAACTAGAAGGGCTGAATGAAGATCTGACTTTCAGGAGGGAGAGTCTGATTTTATATCTGTTAAACTTTTAAAATCACCATAATAAATATTTATCTGTGACTGTGTGTGTTTGTGAGTCTCGTGATTCTGATTATTGTTTTCCCGTTTGGACCACGTCTTCCAATGTGTCCAACTTTTCTCCATAAAAAATAATATTTTTGTATTTGCACTGTAAAACCCAAGTCATTGCAACCTAAAACCTACAAATTGATGAACGTTAGGTGAAAAAACAATTTGTTTTAGCAACATCACTTTATGTTATCTTGGTTGTCTCTTGTGTAAACCATGCGAGATTGGTTGATTTAACTTTACAAGCTTATTGAACTCCTTTAAATAGTTGCTTGCTTTTGTGAATCTATTTTAGTTCAACAAAAAGGCTAAATTGTTTAAACTTTGTTTCAGTTAAGTTGATCTAGATTCATTAAACAGTTTAAATTTACATTAGTCTCATTAAACCCATTTCAATGGATTTTCTTTGGTTTGAACAAAAACATTACACTGAATTTAAAAGTAAGAATAACTAATGTGACATTTTGAAATACATTTGTCTTGATAAAACAGAACACAAATATTTAACCAGACCTCTAACAATTCCTAAATTGACTTTTGTTTGGTTGAAACAAACAATAACTCCCTAAAATGGTGTATGTGTATAAACTTTGTCTCAAATTTAGCAGAGAATGTAGAAAACTCCCTGGATCGACACCAAACAATGGGAAATGAGAAAGGTGACGCACCCTGCCTCCACCCTCATTTGCCCCACTCTGGGCCCCTGAGCAAGGCCTTCAACCCCCAGCTGCTCCATGGGCACCTTAGATGGCACCAGTCTGCTCCCCGTGGTGCGGGAAAATGCATCACAATAATTTATCTCCATTGGGGAATTATAGAGTAATAAATGGTATCACTTTACAATAAGGTTCCCATAGATTGCTAATAAATAGTTTATAAATATATTATTAAACGTTGTATAAATCATTAATAATTGTTTATTGTGCATTAATTAAGGGTGACAGAGAGTCAAAACTGAGCAGTTTCTTGCCAAATAGTGAGACAAATCTGTTCTCCTATAAATTTCATTGAGTTGTTATATTAAACATTGCAGATTAATTTACTACCTTGTAAGCACAAAAAGCATCTGTAAAGCTATTTTTTAATATTAGTTGTAGATACTTATAATGTAGTGATAAAGTACAATATTATTTGCTAAAGAAAAAGGTTTGCAAATGCTTATTGTGTTTACAAGGTAGTAACTTAGTCTGAAATGTTTAATATAACAACACTAGATGAAATATCTTGTAAACATGATTGTTAAATCATGTTTCTTCCACATGAGGCGGCTGTCTAAACTGAAGCCCATATTATCCAAAAATAAACTGGAGACAGTAATACATGCATTCATTACATCTAGGCTTGATTATTGCAATTCGCTCCTGTTTGGTATCAGTCAAACCTCCATTGCACGACTACAACTGGTCCAGAATGCAGCAGCACAATTTTTAACCAGTACAGGCAAAAGAGAGCACATTACACCAGTTTTGGCCTCCCTGCACTGGCTACCGGTTCACCTTCGAATCCAGTTCAAAATACTGATGTATGTCTACAAATTGCTGAACAGTTTTACACCCCCCCCCCCCCCCCCCATCTCTCTGATCTGCTACAGCCGTATGTCCCACCACGCTCCCTGAGGTCAGCGGACCAGTTGCTCCTCACAGTTCCAGGAACTCGTCTTAAGCGCAGAGGTGACAGGGCCTTCTCTGTAGCAGGACCAAGACTTTGGAACGAGTTACCTCTGCTTGTCAGACTGGCCCCCACCCTCTCGGTTTTCAAATCCCGTTTAAAAACTCACTACTATTCAGTAGCTTTCAACATCAGAGGATCTGTGTTTTGAACCTGTATGCTCCACACTGGTTTGTCATCATATTCATTATCTGCATCGTTTTTATGTCTATATTTTTTTATTTACTTCATTTTGTGTATTGCTTTGTGCATTGTCTGTTGTTCTGTCTGTACAGCACTTTGGTTGGCCTTGTAGCTGTTTTAAGTGCTCTATAAATAAAATGGTATGGTGTGGTATAGTAAATATGTAGGTGAATTTATTTATCTCACTATTTGGAAAGAAACTGGTCAGTTTTGTCTCTGCCACCCTTAATCAATGCATAATAAGCAGTTATTAGTGATTTATAATGTGTTTATAGAGGAAATAATAACGTATCTATAAACTATTTATTAGCCGTTTATAAGGGGAGCTTTATTGAAAAGTGGTACCAAATAAATTCAATGAAGGATGGTCTTAGTTTAGAGGGGCGGTGTCTTAAAATGTCAGCAGCCCGAC